GCAGCGGCCTCGGGGAAGCAGCCTGTTGTGTGAGTAGGATCAGGGAGATTGGGCTGAGGGGGGCAAATTCTAGGTCGTCTTAAAAACAAGAGGTCTGGGCTCCCCCTGGTGGCGCAACAGGTTAAAGCACTGTATTATGACCCTCTCCCAAGCTCCTGAAACACAAGCTCTGTCCCCAGCCAGGGAGCTGACCCACATGGTGCGGCAGACCTCTCCTGGCCTGCCCGCTGCTCCCCTCAGCAGTGTACTTTGTGGATCTCCCTGTTCTGCTCCCCTCTCTGTCTCTGGTGAATCCTCTCACCCACCACACCTCTGGCTTGTACCTCAGTTCTGTAAGCATAAATAAATCTTTAAAAAACAAAAACAGGTCTGCAGGAAGCATCCTCAGACACATGTGAGACAGGATCCCCCAGCACCCCAATAAAAGGCTGCTGGCCACCTACTGGCCACCCTGTCACATTTTGAGCACAGCTGACAAAGCACTGGCAGCGACATCATCCCTGCGTGGACAGGACGCTGCTCTGTGCGCAGACCTTCCCATGTCCCTCATCCTGGGAGGATGAGTAGAGAGAAAGTTGATCTATTGCCTCAATGCAGAGAGAAGAATCCCTGGAGCTCAGCCCCCAGGAGCCTGATCCAAGATCAGCGAGTGCTCCAGGGACCAGCGTGAGTCACTTCCTCCTTCGCCTCCAGTTCCCACATCTGGAAAAGAGGACGACTGTTCAGTGATCACAAAGGACACGGCAAGTACAGGCCCAGGCACCATTACCTGAGAGAGTGAGGAGCTGGACCAGGAACATATGTCTTCCAACCCCACCCAGTCTGGACAGCGAAAGAATTCTTTTTTCAATGCAATAAAAATCTGACACTTGGCAGTGTGGGATTTGGTTTGCGTCTTACTATAAGAAAAATGCCCAAAGCAAAAGATCTGGTCAACATACTGTGGTAAATTTTATGTGTTCAAGTTGGCCAGGCCACAGTATCCAGACATTTGGCTAAACATTCTAGAAGTTTCCCCGAAGGCATGTTTTTAGATGAGATTAACATTTAATCAGCAGCCTAAAGTAGACGGCCCTCCCCAGTGTGGGTGGCCTTCATCTATTCAGGTACAGACGCTACAGGGCTGGCCTGCCCAGAAAGGCAAACCCTGCCGGCCAGCTGCCTTTGCACCAAGCGTCCGCTCTTCCTGGGTCTCCAGCCTACCAGATGACCCTGTAAATTCTGGACTTGCCAATCGCCATGATCAAGAGCCCATTCTTTCAAACAAATCTCTTTTTGCACCTCAACAACACCACAGGGTGTATTTCCTTGCCCTGATTTATTTCCCTGGAGAACTCTACTACACATACTGTGGCAGATACAAGCATGTTCAGTATCTCCAGCTCGTGCTGCCCCCGCCGACCCCCGTTCTGGGCCTCCCACCTCCTGGCCCCAGTGGACACAGAGTACAAGTGAGAATCATTTGTTGTTTCAAACCAATGGGATTTAGGGGTGTGACTGATAAATTACTGGGGTGGCGGCAGGGGCAAGGCAGGGATTTATCCAACTGTACAAGTGCTGATTATACAGTTTTAAACTTTTTCTTCATTCTTACAAGTTTGATATTTGATATAAACACTGAAAAGTAATCTGGAATACTGCAGGCACATGATGGCAGTAAAAGCTTCTCTGAAATTATTTAATGTAAACTTTCCACTGGCCTCTCTTTTAATCCAAGTTACTGGCACAGTGTTCCGTCCAGCCCACCAGCATCCGTCCCATTTCAAACCTTGGAATAAATGCAGTCCATATGGATTCGAACATTTCTGTAAACAAGGCCTCAAGAGCTGCAGTGTTTTATGATTTTATGGCATTCTGTCCACCTTTCTCTCTCTATAGCTTCCAGATTGCCAAGAAGTCTTTTAATAAGATCTGACTCTTTAAGTGGAGGGGAGGGGGAGGCGTTGGAGGAGAAAACAGGTTGGAGGCTGAACCACTGGCAACTGGTTAAGTAGGTGGAGATAATCTGATTTTGACATTACCTAGCCCTGAGGTTATCTGGAATTTCAACCAATGAACACATAGCTGAGATGATCAAATCCATCAAGGATTCAGATTTGTAAAAGGCTTCTCAGAATTTTGATCCAATGGGGAAAAGTATGAATAGTCCCACTTTGCCCCGTAAGTAGTCAAACTCAGCACTTCTGAGCACAAACGGGGCCATACCTGCTTTTCCAGTTCCTGCCAAGTGCCAGCCTACTGTTACAGTTCAATGAAGGCTGGATTGACTCTCCCACTCCTCCCACCTGGCCCCAACCTCTCTAACCCGAGGGAGCAGGCTGAGAAGCGGAGAAGGCAGCCAGGGGCTCCCGTGTCTCACAGGCTGTGGACACTCACGTCTGTTCACTGTGGCCGCAGCCCACTTTGGCTGATGGGACTCCACTGGAGAGTCAAAGATGGCCAGGACACCTCCGACATGCATGGCCACACTGGTCGACAGGCAGCAGCTCCTGGAGTGCAAGGAGCTGCTGGAGATCAAGGCTCCGGAGGTCAGGACCAGCCTGCGGCTGAGGGGGAGCTGGGCTGCAGTGATGGGGCTTCTTACAAAGGCAGCGGGTAGAGCCATTCTGCTGAGCACAGGGACTCCAGGAACGAGGTCACAGGAGGTGAAAACTGCAGTTTGCCTTCCTTTCACCAACAGCTACTGTGTATGGTGAGAGGAGTAACAGCTGATGCAGTCGGGCTGCTGAGAACAGCCCTGTTCAGAATGGACTGCGATTTGCCTCTGAATAGAAGAGCTAGCTGGTGCTGGAGTATCATTTGCTCAGAGGACAGGTCAGTCAGTGTCCAGTGAAGGGACAGAGTGGCCCCTTGGCCTGGAATGTGGTACTGAGGTCACTTGAGTCAGTGTGATTAGCAGACAACTGCCCCCCAGACAATCGCTTCTGTTCTTACAAGGCGGATTATTGCAGCCTCCAGGGTGATAACCGGCACACCAAGACAAGGTTGCTGAGTCTTCAGACCTTGAGGAAATCCCCTAAACATTTGTTGCTGTTTGTCACATAATTAAGCACTTGTAGCATGTTCTCCCTAGTGACCCGAATCACAGAGTTTAAGACGTAAACCGCCTCTCAGTAACGCTCCCTCCACGGAGCGCGGAGATGGGAACATGAAAACCGTGCCACATGTCTGCCATCTGTATTTGTACTTGTCAACAGCTCTGTTTTGGGATAAACAGTTTTGAAATAAGAATCAATTCAACTTGTTGGAAGATTAGCCAAGGAAGAGCTCAGCAGACCAAAACAGAACATGAAGTCAGATAGTCTAAAATAACAAGCACAATTTTCTGTTTCTCGCGCAATGTTCTGTTTTGTCACAGCCCAAGAGAAAGCACATGGCAGCCAAGGTTTGAGGACAGAGACAGAAAAGGCATTTACTTGTGAGAAATTCCGAACCTTGAGCAGATGCCTCGGCTACAACGCAACTGGAAACCACTCCCTGACCTCTAGGAGACTAAGGAAAAAGCCATTTTAGCTTTTCCGCCTGGTTTCAGGGCCCCTGCCTGGAGCCCCACCCCAACTCCGGGACACGCCGTGCGGGCACAAGGCAGGCCTTTGTTACCATAAAATGATGGCGGCTCCCAAAGTCGCTCTTGATTAAAAGTAGCTCATGCTTGAGAACACGACTCCACCGGAGAGCTATTAAAATAAAGAGATGGCAAGGGGAAAATAAAGACTTATATACTGAAAGGGAGGTCAGAGAAGAATCTGGCCAAAATAGGATGCTACAGACCGGTGGCAGATAACAATGCAATTACTTTCTGCCGCGGCTGATGCGTGTGAATGAAGGGTCCGGCTCCCTGGCGGCCCCACAAATTCTACAAAACAAATGAGAACGTGTGTGCTCCACTTGGAAGGACATCCATTTTCTCCTTAAAAGAAGTCATTTATAAAAGAGCAAATTGGTGATTTGTACTTACAGACTGGGCCCTTTTCAAGCCCCTGTCAAGAAGTGATAAATTATTGAAGCGTAGCATAAAGTGTTTTATTTTGGTGTGCCTATAGTAGAACCTGTGAAATGTTTCTGCTCACCTTTTGCAAGTTATTAATTAAAAAAATAATTGTTTCCAATTACTCTGTGATCTTTAAAATAAGACAAGACAAAATGCCACCTCTCCAGGCACCACGCAGCTGCCCGGCTCCCTGTCCTGCCCCCACAGGCCTTCGCGAGGCTGCTGTTTCCAGTCCACCCAGACTGGGGGGTGTCAGGAACGCTGTGGGGTGGAGGCCACGGCAGCGGCACACGATTGTCTGGCGTTCACTCCGCCGCCGGGCCCGAATATATTTGTTGTTCCTGGAGACAGCGTAAACCACTCAGAATAAAGCAAGGGTGTGGAAATCTCATTAATAAACTGTGAAAACCCTCTCAGCGGGAGTCAAGTAACACAGAGGGCCGCCCTGTGTCCTGAGACTGGCCGCTCCGAGCAGGGCTCCAGCTGAAAGGCCCTGGAGGAGCCAGAGCAGGGAGGAGCCCTCACAGCCCCGCGCCCGGAATCCCAGCCCGTCTACACACTCAAGGCGCTGCTCTCAGCCCGATGACAGCCAGACACAAGGGGGGCAGCGCACCCCTGCGTGGTGCGTCACCCTCAAGAATGACCTCGCTGCGTGGCCTGGGCAGACGGGCAGCGCCACAGAGGTCCAGTGCACAGTCAGCGTGGTGCCGCCTCACGGGCACGTCGCTACCGTCCCCACAATGGGTGCCCCGGAGTCCCACTCTTCAAGGACAAGCTGCTGCCAGGTCCCCAATTCTGTCTTCTCAGGTGATGGGATCAGAGTGGAGCTGACCTCAAAGGCCCTCTGTAGCTGAAATGGCAACCCCAGGCCTCTAGGATATTTCACCCAAGTATTCTGACTGGCAGTAGAGGATGGGCCAGGGAAGGACATCCCCAAGGTGGCTTAATTATCACACACTCAGTCAGCCATGAAAACAAAGCAACACAAATGACACTACTTGGAGCTGAGGTAAAAACTGGGTAGCGACAAATTGTGTTTATTCTTACTTTCTGCACAGTGACATATGAAAATGCCCGAAACTTACATACGAAAGAGTCTTTACAAATCAAATCAACAACTTTATACATTTATCTTACTCACATGTCAATCACAAATCAGCAACGGTTATGAAAATAAGGCAAATCATCTCACAAAAGAACAAAAATTTCATCAAAAATATATCCCTGTGTGAAAAGTATTGTGTGCTGTGTTCTTGGGGTGTCTTCACATTCTTCTTTTCTGTGTACTTATGTACAACACTGAAAAGAAAAAAAAATACATTAAGTTGAAAAAACTGCTCTAAGGAATTACAGTAGCAAGTTTTATCTTACTTTTTAAAAAAGATTTATTTATTTATATGCATACAAGAGCTGGGGGGTGGGTGGAGAAGAGGGGGAGTGAGAGGATTTGCCAGAGACAAAGTGGGGAGCAGAACAAGTGAAACAACTGAAACACACTGCTGAGGAGAGTAGCAGGGAGATAGGAGAGATCTGGGGTGACAGGAGAGGTCTGCTGTGCCACGTGGGTCAGCTCTCTGGCGGGGATCATGCTGCAGTGGCTGCCAACAGTTTGACGGTGCTGAGACTGAACCCCTGCAACACCGGGGAGGCCCCATTATAGTAGCATGTTTTTAAAAACAAACAGATTTGGCCTGATACCTCTGAAAGTTTCAAAGGGATTATCATACTGCACAATATATTCTAGAACTACTCTATGAGCCCAATTTTGTAAATCCAGGTGTGGATTTGATGTCTTAAAAGAATGTCATTCTGACACTCAGCTATCCATCTAACAGAGTCTGCAAGTTGTGACCAAGAGAATAAAATAATGTATGTAAAAGTCCCTGGAAGCTAAACATATTTTATAATTCTAATTATGCTTGCAGTTCAGTTTAAGAATAAAGGACATGCTAATACCTATCACCCCAATAAAACTCAAAAGCTCTTTTTTAATTGTAACAGGATAAGAGCAGCTGAGGTGCTGTCTCACTTCTGAAAAAGACCAAGGTCCTTCCTCTAAGTCCTCTGGTAAGAGTCTCAGCCTTCGCTGCCATCCAAAGTTTTGCCCAGCCAGCTATCCTGAACCCCATAACTGAACTCTTCAGACAGGCTGCACAGACCAAGAAAATCTGACAACTGTCAAACTGTCCCAAGATGTGGCCTCCCTCTACCCCGATTACTCAGATCCTGACAGGCTTGTTTAAAGCGGGCGCTGAGAGACATCTTCATCAAAGTCACAGGACAGTTAATCAAGTAAATCCAAATCCTCTCTAAAGGCAAGGATGCCAACTTGAATTCCAAAGAAAACTGCACTGATTAATCCCAAATGTTCCAAAAGGGGAGCACCAGAACGACAGGGAACCACTGGAATGTGGACCCATCCCAGGTGTGGCCACACATGAATGATCCGCCCCGTCACCACTCAGAACCTGCCGCCGAGCTGGGCATTCAGCTGTCTTGAGGTAGGGCGAGAGCGGAACACCTCTCAGTCAGGGCAGAGAGTCAAATAACAATATGAAAAAAGAGAAGATTTTCCTACATTTCAGAGGGACAAAAAAGATGCAATGTGAAGAAACAACGATAACGAGAGCGGGCGACAGAGTGCCTTGCACAGAAGCCAGGATGGTCCACTCACAGCAAAGCCAGACAGAAGTTATCCAGAACTAAAGACTGTACACCGATAAAAAAAAGTCCAAACTCTGGAAGCCAAACTCCAAAGCCCAGAGCTCCACCGAGGGATGAAAGCAAACAGTGGCCACGGGGCAAGAATCATTCCCACAGGCTCGATGTTTTCCTCTTCCCCACGAAAAACTCAAGAATGACTTTATTGTATTGAAATTGTGTTTTTTTAAGAAGGCACTAAAGAAAACACATTGAGTCACAGCAATACATCAGCTAAGTTAACTTTAGAGTCTGATTTCCTATTTAGTCATCTTTTTGGCCACACTAAAGGCTACAGCTCTCCACAGAGAGCCTGTGAGTGCCGGCGACGCAGGCCAAACAGGACACGCAAACTGCCAAGTGACGCAAACCTGACAGCAGGACTGGCCGCTCTCCGGCTCCGCCTCCAGTCTGAGCGGCAGAGCTGGGGGACACGTAAGAACCGCATTCAGAGTGCTGAGGGCTGGGGGTCAGGATGCCAGTGTCTCTCAGGCCTCCCAGGGGAAGAGAGAGCGCCTGGTTCCAAAGTCCCTCGAAGCATTGGAAACAGAACTGATCACACACAAGGTCCGAAGAACAAGCACTTCCAAACAAAGCAAAGCTGAAACCGAACTTTAAGTTCTCGAGGAAACCCTGCAAGGCCCCAGGGACAGCACACCATGGGGGCGCGCGGGACCTCACCGTTGTTTCCTCGGAGGAAGGCGTCCCCATACTTGTTCTTCAGCTGCCCGTTGACATACTCCTCCGTCTGCTCCAGGGCGATGTTCATGTAGCCGTCCAGGCAGGCCAGGACCCCTGGGGACAGTCAGAGGAGAGGCCCAGAGCGCGTCAGGCTCGAACACTACAGGGCAGGCAGGAGCTGACGCCCCTTCATTCATCAGCTCCTCCACGCCCGGTGTACAGATTCACACTGTAAACGGAGCTCAGTGGATGGAAGCACGAAAAGCCTGCGCCCACGCCGACGTGAGCGGAGACGAGGACGCACACCGCCGGGCGCGGCCAGGCACGGGCCCAGCGGGAGAGCCAGGGACTGCTGCTCCCCTTCCAGTATGTGTGACAACAACAGTGACTTTTAAAGCACTGACAAGAGTAACACAGTGAGGACAGGCCCTGTGAAGTACAATTCTTGGAAAGCGACAGCAGAGGGGGCGTCAGGCAGGGCGGGTGACCGCTGGCCGAGGTGCCGTGCCCGTGGCCCCCGTGGCGGTTCTCAGCCACCGAGGGAGGCACGGGGCTGGCAGATTTGCCGCTTTCACGTCGACTGCCGCTCTGACTGTCCTTGAGGGCTAAGAGGAAGCTTCCACAATCTGTTAACATAATAGACGAGGAGACAGCAGGTGCTCCCGAGGGAACATCTTGGAGCTGCGACTCACAGGGAAGAGCAGCTTGAGGATCCGGGAGACACCTCGTGGCGACGGCCCCTTTCTGTTTTGTTCCAGTCAGGAGAGTTTCTAACCCAAACTAGTAGAGAAAATGGCCCAAACATTCGAGGGAGCTTTCAAGGAAACTGTTGAAGCAAATCTTTTTTAATTGTGTTGAGATTAAACATTTTGCAAAATGTGACCTTTCTTCAGAAGATGAAAACACACATAAGCCTCTAACTGAATCTCTAATTTAAAGTGGTATCTTCGAGGAGAAAAAGAACCCAGTGAAAACAATACTACAAATTTGATTCGATGTACCAAGCCCACAGTTCATTCTGAGGCTGAGCTTCGTTAACATGCTCCTCACTCCTGCCCCGTTACCCTGCACACAAAAAAGTTTCTTTTCAAAACACATAGTGAGAACACAGGAATCCAGCAGAATTCCAGGAGTTATAAACTTTCAAAGAATCCGAATGGATAGTGAACAATTAATAACAGTCATTTCCTAGCAACAGGAAGTCTGACAGAACTTCACAGTTTGTTTATTGCTGCATTAATTTAGACCTAAACTTTAAATATAAACGAGATGGTACTTCGGGGACGTGACTTGCAAATCTCGAAAACCACTTGCAAGCATTTCCAAATGCAAGATCCATTTCTAATCAAAATGGAACTGCAGCCCCCTTGTGCCCCTAGGGCTAAATGACTATAAATAACAGAACATAAGACACTTCCTTCAAAAGTACAGAGAAACTGCTACAGAGAGTTGGTGTGTGAATTACCCAACCACAAACTAAGAGCATTCTTTATAACCAGGCTCTCAACAGTGTGCAAGATTCTGCTTTGATAATAAGAGGCCCTGAAAAGAGAGCCATAAACATGGAGAAATTATGTCACTACCCATGTGAAAGGCTGTTCAACCTCCTTAGTAAACAAAAGTGTCAAGAAAATGAGATAATACTTATTGCCAATTAGGATGGGAAAGTGAGCGCAAAGGCTAACAGAGGCTGTGAGAAGGGACAAAGGACCGGAGCCTTGTGTCCGGCGGAGAGCCTCTGGGCCTGGTCTGCGGCTCAGAAACCCTGGCCAGGAGACCACCGGGACAAGGGCTCAAGGGTCGCAGCCTGAGCGGCTACACGGCAAAACGCGGCAAACACCGAAAATGTCTGTTAACGGGAAGCTGACGAAGAACAAAGCGGAATTTTGATCCCCCACATGTGCTCCTGGCCGGCCACTGTGTTGCAGGGACCTGAAGGCGACTGTCAAGTATTTTTACAAGGTGCACATGCAGCCAATCCCCTTCCACAGAGCCACGCTTCTATGAAGACAGGCCCACAGTAAGAAGACAGATGGCCTCGGATGGGAAAACCTGAGACCTTATTTTCTTCCTTCTATTTCTCTTCACTATTTGTTTTGAGATCTCTATAAACAGAAAAACATATATATTACAGAAAAAGGGCCAGGCTGATGATCTCTGTAGTAAAGTGGGCCCTGAGAAAACACAGAAAATAATATCCCCATCCAAACCAACTGTCAAGTATGCTCAAAAGCTCTAGAAGACTACCTCCTTTGGGTTCATCAGGGAATTTAAGAACCGGACAGGAAGTATTGTAGGGAGTTTAGAATATCTCAGTAGTCTGTACGAATCTGCCTGTTCCAAGATAAAAAGCAAATGAACATCAAGGAAACTTAAGCAGCACAGGAAAGAGACTGGCTCCTTAACAAGACTGCTGAGTCACACTAGAGTTCGAGTCCCACAGCTCTCACACGGGCTGTAGCCGAAAAATGAACAGTGATCAACACTGGACACAGAGCAAGCTCCCACACAGTAAGCTGCAAGCGCGGAAGGAGGAAAACGTGCAAGAGGCTGTGGAAAAGACAGCAAGAAAGGCTGCAAAACACTGCTGGTGAGGCTGTGGCTGCTGTAACGCGTCTTAATTTTTGAAAACTAGGATTCAGTAACTTTTAAAAATGGAATTTGATAGGATTCCTCTCACAACGTTCGTTTCAAGAGCGTCATGGTCCCTTACTGAACATTCTGCACAAGAACTGAAAGGGGCCTGGTAGCAGGCGTCTGCCCATCGCCACCTCTCAAGAGCCGCCGCTGCTGAGCTGGGTGGTGGCCGAGTCCGCTTATCACCAGTGTCTGTGGGTCCCGGCCACGGCCTGGGCTCAGGCACAGCCCATCTCGGATGGGGTGACACGGTGCACACTGGGAGTCGGGGCACACAGGCACTGTCAGAGCTGTCTCTCTGAAAAGAATCACCTCAAAGGGGGAAGAAGAAATGGGCATAAAGATTGTTGACAACCAGTGCTGTTGGTCCACCGTGTTATGTTTAAGGGGTTAATAAAAACGAGTTATTTAGTTACCATGGGGGAGGAAACATGAAAATGTTACCTCGATAATCCACTCCAGAATTTAATTTCACCACAACTGGTCGGCCGATGATTTGCTTCAAGAAGTCACTGGGGGTTTGCTTCCGCAGACTCATTTTACCTGTTCTGGTCAGGAATCTGAAAAGGAGCAACAGAAGGTAGAGACAACAGTTAATTATTCAACAGAAAGGCCTTGGAGGCCTTAATGTATTTACAGGAAGTCAAGTATTAAAAGACCCACGTATGAAGCTTCAATATTACTCCATCACTACTGACAGTAACGCATTCTTAGTACTTATTCCGAGCCAGATACTGAGCAAGGAGCTTGACATACGTCATCTTCCCTCAGTCCCAAGACCACCCCCAGCAGAGCTGCCTCCCGCAGAGGCCTGTGTTTCTAGAGTCCTGCCTCACCCCCTTGTCACTCCCACCTCTCACACAGTGGGTGCCCAGTATAGCCCCCCCCACCTCCACTGCTCCCTGAAGGCCAAGCACTGCCAAAACCCTTATCATACCTGGAAAGAAAATGTCCCCATTTTGCTGACCAAAGTAAAGGCACAGAATGAGTAAATAATTTACCCAGAATGTGGCAGAATGTTCAGAGTAGACACATTACAATCATCTGCTCTAAAAGGGACCTCTGCAGATCACTGTAACTAAGTAGCTAAGCACTCCACACATACCAACCCATGTACACCTCCCGGATTTGCTTTTACCCTCATTTTACAGATGAATAAACCAGACACTGGGGGGTCGAACGCCTCACTCAGGCGACACTGTGATGGTACGTGGCCAGCCACGCTCACAAACACAACTTCACACACCACTTAGACTGAACATCACCAGTGCAGCCAAAGATCAGGACCTGACTCTATTACAATTTTACAAGACACACACTCTAAATAGGAACAAGTCTTCAAGTATAACAGTCTAAAACAGAGAGGTGGCATCAAACACCCAAATCTCTCACATCAGACCTGTTGGTGCCTTGAATCCTTTTCACCTTATTATGCAAGTTGACGGTCAGATCATCTGGGAGAAGAAAAATCACAGAAAGGTAGTTACTTAAGCAAAAATTGACAGGAAAAAGACTTGGGAAATTAAGTTTTCTGTCCTGCTACTAGTTAGCAGCCATAAAGCACTGTCGCTTCAAAATTAGTATGGACTCTGCTGCTGCCTCTGACTAGGTAAGAGTCTTTCTCTTTCTCTTTCCTAAAGCCTGCCCTTTTAAAATGTAAAAAATAAAGTAGTGTGGATTTTAAGGACCGCTGTCAAAACTTCAGTTTTCAGCTCCCAATTAAAATAAGTAAGACTGCCTGCTGCACTGGCGTGGCCCACCAGCGCTCTGAATTCAAACGCAGGGTTATTGGTTTTCCATTTGTTCAACAAGTATGTGCGTGCACACACCGTGCAAGGAAATCCAGAACCACGTCACGCAGATAGACTCTCACCCTCAACAACCTGGAGGACCTGGAAGAATCTAAACACATGTTTAAAGGGTGCGAGTAAACTAAAAGTGATCATAATTTAAGTGAACAGTTTCTTTAACCAAGAAAAGTCAACTTCCTAAGTTAAATAAAAGCAAATGCAAATTTTAAAAACTTATTCTTCAATTGTGCGCTGTTCTTTGAATCATTCAAACCTCCCCACAGCCCCCCACTCTCCCTAGCTTAGTGAGGTTTTTAATGTAATCAACTGTTTTGCTCAGCAAACTTTAATTTTCCCACTGAATCGCCAGCTTATTTTTTCAGCTCTACAGTCTCAACAGATAACAGAAATTACAACTACTATGCAGAGTAACACGACACATTCAAGGCTCAGACCACACAGCAATTTTATTTTATGCTATTTTGAGCCCAAGGTGGGGGAGAAAACTCACAAAGTAAATACTGCAACAGATTCCGTACCTTTAATGAGATTAATAAAAACAAACAAATCTTCCCATTCATCTATAAACTGCTTTATTTATGTCCTCAACATGTGCTATTTTGTAGCTGAACAGGCCTAGAGAGACTATTAACTCCAAAGGCCTGACAGAGACTTGATTGCTTAGTCTTAGGCTGACAACCATAGGTTCAAGTCCCATCATGACAGCCTCCTGTACCAAATTCTGATAAGACTGTTCATTTTGTGTTCAAAAAGAAAACAACCAACCTAAGATGCACAATGATGTGAAAATCTAGCTAGCTCACAGAGTATTAATCACCTTGTCCAGAGTCAAATTAATGATAGAAAAAACGTTTGCGATTAGCTGCAGGCTGCCGGTTACCTTATTGGTGTTACCAATACTTTTTTCACTTGGGAAAAAAAAAAACAACAGTTCTAGGCTTCTAAGTTCATCAAAGATCACACCTCCTCATCAAGCCTCATCTTTACTCCAGGAGCAAATGTTAATCTCTTCCGGAAGGCGCCCAACATCCTGCTGGCAGGGAGGTGACACCAGGGGGCAAGGCCTCGAGTCCTCAGAGCTCAAGCTCCAAAGACCCCAAAACCATTTTTTTTTTAAAGATTTATTTATTTATTCATACAGAACTGGGGTACAGGCCAGAGATGCGGAGGGTGAGAGGATTCACCAGAGACAGAGTGGGGAGCAGAACAGGCAGATCAATGAAGTACACTCCTGAGGGGAGCAGCGGGCGGGTCAGGAGAGGTCTGCCTCGCCATGTGGTCACCTCCGGGGCAGGCGGGGATCGAACTCATGCGGAAATGGCTTTAGTTTCTCAGTGCAGTGCTTTAACCCGCTGCGCCACCAGGGAGGGCCCCCAAAACCATTTTTAAGGACATTCTCTGAAAGCGCTATGTGTCTGGAGAGAACCCTGTGAAGAACAGGCATCCCTCATAAACCCAGGCTGGCAGAAACACTGAGGCACCCCCACCCTGAGGGGAAGGAGAATCTCAGCAGAGGCCGACCTACCCAGACGGAAGTGCAGGTGCCGGGAATGCTCTCCACTGGAGCAGGGGGGCAGTGAGGCTAACAGACTTGCGTTTGAGCTTTAGGGCAGGTCCCCAAATGCGGTTCCTTGGAGACAGATTCAGGAGCTCTGGGCTGGGCTCCAGGAATCTGCTTGCCCAAGCCAGGACTCTTCCAGACTAGCAGGTGTGGGACAGACTGTGTCAGGGGGCGGGGCAGGTTCTAATCAGGGACTTGCTGGGGTTCCCACTTGAGGTGGAGAAGCAGAGGAGACACCTCACTGAGCTCTGGCATCCTGAAGCTTCAAACTTCCCTGGAATGAAAGGAAACAGTCACTACTGACCCTTTTCTATTGGTTTTATGGTTTTACTTTGTTTAGTCTTTTCTCCCCCACGACCATGAAAGGGAGGCTAAAGCCTTCTCATTTGTTCACTAAAAGAGGCACATTCTGTTAAATCTTTCGGATTTGGAAAGGGAATAGCTGCTCTCAACACACCTCGTCGATCACCTAAGAGACTCCATCCTTCTGGTTCATCTTCATCAGGTCCTCTGGTTCTCCCTGTTACTTAATAACCTGCCCACAATCCATTTTCTATGAGCAAACTGTTCTCTGCACAATTGTTCCCAGCACCTGGCTCACACAATTTTGAGTTTAATCTTTGAAGCTGGATAAAGCAAAAGGAACAGTTGTGACCATTTCTGAAGCAAGGGAAAAGCCTCTTGAACCAGAAACACATTGAAGAGGAAAGAGGCTTCCTTCCCAAGGGTCCCCTTGATGAAACTGCTCTTCAAAATTAAAGCCACAACCATCATGGGTGCCTCCGCTCTCCCCGCACCTCGCGTTCAGTCTCGAATGAGATGGCTACTTAGTAAAAGGCAGCATGTTTTCTGTCAGAGCTACTGAGAGCACTGGTGACCATCTCTGGATGGTCCTGCAGAGATGTTTTAGTTAAAGAATAAGGGGCAGAGGCCCTCCCTGGTGGCGCAGCGGGTTAAAGCACAGCACTGAGAAGCTAAAGCCGCTTCCGCATGAGTTCGAATCCCGCCTGCCCCAAAGGTGACCACATGGCGCGGCAGACCTCTCCTGACCCGCCCGCTGCTCCCCTCAGCAATATGCTTCGTAGATCTGCCTGTTCTGCTCCCCGCTCTGTCTCTGGTGAATCCTCTCACCCTCCGCACCTCTGGCCTGTACCCCAGTTCTGTACAAATAAATACATAAATCTTAAAAAAAAAAAAAAGAAAAAAAGAATAAGGGGCAGAAACCCCAAATTTCATCCATCCAACAATGCGCCCAGCCTGCTGATTCATGAGCAATTCACACTGTCTTTCCTGGCTCACTGAGCAGAACTTCACCCCAAAGCTCAAGACCTGTCAAAGGTCCAGCTGCTCTCTGCATGTGCCAGGCTTCCCCTGTTCAAGCTGGGAACAGCCAGAGACAACAAGCTACCCACCCAGGGAAGGGGCAGCAGCCCTGGGGGGCACACCCGGGGTCTGAATCCCGGTAAACACAGTGCTCACTCGAGAAGTTACCTGATGTGACTCTGCTGGGTACTGGGCAAAAGACCTCAAACCCTCGATTCTGCAAAAGCAGTCTTTTCAGTTTTATAGTTTTTACATTTTCCCCTCAACTATCAAGACTATCTATGATTCAGAGTGAAAAATGAAAACAATTTGAAAGCAAGTAAACTGCCGTGAAATGTCATCACCACCCTGCACATTACAAGCACTGCGCCTCAGACAGTGTGCAGGCAGCAGGCAGAGAGGAGCTGCTCTGTCCCTGTCCCGCTGGGCAGTGGACTAGGGGACCTGTTTCCCAAGGCTTCCAGTCCCTCGCCCTCCCGCTGCAGGGGCTACTTTCCTCCCTGCTCCTCTGCGGGGCACCCCTGCCCCCCAACCAGTCAGGCTGGGGTCTAGTTTCCTGTCTGTTAACAGCGCTCCTCCTGGACAGATCATCTCATCTCATTCCCTCACTGACCCTGGCACCCAAGCACTGTCCAAACCTGTGGAGACGCCATGGGGGGCAATGCCAGGGAAAACCACTGTCCCTTGCCCTCCGCAGACTACGGACACAGTGGCAAGCACAGTATAATCCCAGCACTTCAGCAGCTGTCAGCTACCTCCATTACTGTCACCAGATGACGAGAGACGCAGAAGAGAAAACGGGTACTCCAAGCGGCTGCACCTGAACCAGGCGATGCTCACGACAATGCAGTCTCCTGAAGTCTACTCCTGAGCAGACTTGCTAAGCAAGGACGCGCTGACTTATGTTTCAGGAAGTCCCCAAATAATTCCTGTAACCGAGTGGTCTCAGCCAGGGGTGATTCTGCCCCCACCTTAGAGGCATCTGGAAATGTCTAGAGACATTTGGGATGTCTTGACTGAGATGGTGCAGTGGAGGCCAGGGAGGTTGCTTAAGATTTTACAAAGCAAGGACAGCCCTCCACAACAAAGGCGCCAAGTCAACTAAGGGGGAGAAACTCTCCTAAGGTCCCAATGAAAAACCAGTGTTCTCTGGTCTTAAAGCAACATGAAGTTAAAAAAAAAAAATCTTTGAGGGTATAATTAACGAGAACAGCTAAATTCTAAGCAGATGGTTGGGTATAAATGATGACTATTAGCCAGTTAATAAACAATTGTCATAAAATCTTGAAAGGGTTGGCCTTCTAAACAACAGGAATTCTAGTGCTGGCCATAAAAATGGTCACTTCCTCATGTTTCTGTAGAGGCTTTAGGTGATTTAAATGCCAATCACTTGGTACAATCCAAAAAGGATAGACTAATCCAAGGGACCTGACTTTTTCAGGTGGAGTGTGGAGTACGTCACAGTTGAGATAAGAGTACTCACTAGGTGGAGATGACCACTGACCTGATCAGTTCGCTGTGAGACACACACACACTCGTCTGCAGACTGCGGCACCAAATTCAAGCAAATGGAAATGCCAGACCCTGCCACAGAAATAAAAAGGCTCTCCCTGGTGGTGCAACAGGTTAGGATGCAGCACTGCAAGCTGGCTGCAGCTGCTTCAGTAAGAGTTCCATCCCTGCCCCAGAGGTGCCCACTTGGCACAGCAGACCTCTCCTGACCAGCCCACTGCTCCCCTCAGCAGTGTACCTCGTTGATCTGTCTGTCTGCTCCCCACTCTGTCTCTGCTGAAACCTCTCACTGTCCCTGCACCTCTGGCCTGTACCCCAGCTCTGTATGCACAAATCTTAAAAAAAAAAAAAAAAAGAAAAAGAAAATTTAAAATAAGAAAAACTCAGCCTTTCTAACTGAGGTACCAGAGATGTATGATGAGCCATACTTGACACAGAAAAGTCATCCTACAGCTTTTTTGAAAAACAATTTGGCATGGCGTATGAAATCATAAAGGGACCCTGCTAGATCACAACATCTATTCACGTCTTCAAGTCCAGTTCAAGTAAGAAATACAGCTTTTTAAAAAAGGGCATCAAAGTGTTACCTGGGGTGCTAAAATGAAGCAAAAACTCACAAACCCCCTAAATGCCTCCAGGTCGGGAAATGGCTCAGCAGCTCTTAAGAGCCACACAAACACAGGCTGCCAATCACCACAAGCTACCAAGTCAGAAAAGACATTTAGAAAGAATCTGCAAGTGATGGCGGGAAGCTGAACGCGTGACTAAGTGGTAAAATAGCCCCGGGAACATTCTTTCCTTCGCCAACCCACTCCGTAGTTTGCTCCTTCTGCTACAGTCTAAGGGGGCGAGGGCCACTGCGGCACTGTCAGTCTTATCTGCAATCACCCAGGTTCCAGACACCCTAAACAAAAGACCTGCTCGGATGGCGCGCGCGCCCCCCCACACTGACAACTGTGGGAACCCCAACCTGACCGCTCCGGCAGCCGGGCTGCCCCAGCTCGTAATCCCTGGGGGCCAGGCGCAGCCACCCCAAATAATGGAAACCCCCAGCAGCCACCCCAAATAATGGAAACCCAGCGATCCCCCGCAGCCCTGGAAACGCGGGAAATCTGGCCCAGTATTCGGGGGCCGCTTCCCGGCCGCATCCTCGCACTGAAGTCGGGGTTCCCGGCCAAACTGCCGACAACCAGGAGCGGCCTCGAAAGCCCCCTCGGGGAGCCCACGCCGGCGCTGTTCCCCACCGCGCGGTCTAGGCGCCCCTCGGCGACCGGCTCTAGGGGCGGCTCCCTCAGCCCGAGCCCAAGGGGGACCTCCAGTCTCTAAGCGCCCCGAGAGCGCGCGCGACTCGCGGGGACCCGCCACCCGCTGGCGCCGCCGTCCGCGCTCCTCTGGGTCGCGCGCGGCTGCGCCTCACACCCCGTCCGCGGTGGGTGGCCGCAGGGGTCGCGGGCGAGGGGCCTCACCTCGCAACGGGGATCCAGATCCCCCAGTGCAGGCGCCCCAAGATCCCGGCCTCCGCCGACACCCAGTGAAACCGAAACTGAAAGCGCCGGGGGGAGGCGCGTCCGCCTCGGCCAATCCCCGCCGGCCTGGCTACGGCAGCCGCGCGGACCCAAACTTCCCGGCCTCCCCGGCACGCGCAGTGCGGGAGTCTGGGTTTGCCTGGGGCAAGTAGGGGCGGTGGAGTTAAAGTGGAAAGCGCTGGGGTCCTTTCTTTGAACAGAAACTCAACACTCTGGCACTCCTACCCACCCCCAAGCCTGTAGGTTATGCAGGATTTCAGTTAGGCAGAAATGGAAGAAATAGCTTGAAGCCAAGGAAACTGGAATTCACTGCGCGGACCCAGACAAGTCCTTGAATAATTTAAGGCAAATAAGTAAATACATAAAGCAAGCAGTTTTAAGTCCTTAAAGCCACCTTCGGATTTTGATTAAAAACTTGAAGGCGAAGTCATTGTTAGCAAGAGTGTTTCCATGGCAACGTTAATTGACACGAAAAGAATTAAAATCACTAAAGTAACTTCGTATTATAGTGGCATAAATTGCGTTGCGTTACAAACGAGAACCAACTAGTTCCATCTAATTGGAAATGGTTGCAGACATTATTTTAAGTGCTGCTATGGGAGCTTGCTTTGGAATTTTGCATGAATTCTCAATATTCTGGCTATTAATGGACAGGGAAAGGAAAAAGAAGCAATCTGCTATTTCAAGACGTGGTTCCTTCTTTTCCCTGCGCGCATACTTTCATCAACTTAAAACTTACTCTTTTATTCTATTTATATTTAATTCGGGAAACAAAGCCATAGTGTCTTTCAACAGATCCTTAACCATGGTAAGTATTACAGAATCTAAAATGCAGAATCTTTAAACAAAATTGAGTTACCCCCTTTTAATATACATTATTATTAATGAAGTACCATTGCTTT